GCTCCTATCGCACTGCGCGACAATCCACTGCAACTGCAGGTGCAGCTGCAGCTGCCACCGCCCAGCGTCGCTCCGATGTCGAGATCATACCGGCGCCCAGTGTGGAGTTGCCCCAGAGTGAGCTGATCACCATACCCAAGCAGCTGGTGCCCACGCTGCCGGAGAATGTGACGCGACAGGGACGCCGACGCAACTACATGTACATCCCGCTGCAAACGGAGGGCGATGCGAGCAGCTCAGCCTCGCTGCTGCAGCTGCGGCCCAGTCGCAATGCCACGCTATCCGCGCTGGGTCCTCCAGCCGAGGGCATTGCTGCAGTGGCTCATGAATTCAGCTCTGAGCTGGCGGCGCATGCAGCAGAGCACCAGCAACAGCAGTCGGTGCGCACGGAGCGCAGTGATCTGGTAGCTGCGGCCAGCACCACCGACAAGCTGGAGTATGCCGAGCCGGAGCACACGAGTCGTCGTGTGGGCTTTCAGTTTCCCAGCTACAGCCTGAAGCCGGCCAATCCCTTCTATCCGCAGGGCTATCGTGAGGATAGCCCCATCTTCGAGGAGAGCAGTGCCGGCGGTGGCCTGCCCTTTACCGAGGATGCCACGCCCACACAATATGAGCACGAGACACGGCATACGCGTCAGCTGTACTTCGACTCGGATGTCTCACCGTCCAGCTTTGAGTTTCCCGGCCTGGTGGCCAACTCGAAGCCCCACACACTGAACTCCGCCGTCGCAGCCGGGAAACTTTATCGCGATGATGTGACCAAGTTTGGGGACATCAATGGACCCATTACCGCACTGCCAGGTCGCTTGCAGCGCGGCCTCTACTTTGGCGACACGGAATTCCGCACCGGACCCAGTCCCATGCGTCAGTTTGGACCGCAGAAGGCCTTCAATGAGTACGTGGCGCCCGGAGATTATCAGAGCTCGCGCAAGAGTCGCTACTTCCCCTACAAGTCATCGCGCAGTCCCCGCGTGGTCTTCCCCAGCAACGACAATGTGGGCACCACCGGACCCAGCGGCTCCAGCGCACCATCCGGCACGGGTGTCTACTTTAGCGATAATATTGCTTTCAGGTGAGTTGGCAAAAGCGATTAGTCAGTGTGGGAAAAAAAACTGCATAGGGACGGGCTGGGATAGTGTGAGAATCGTGTGCGAGCGATAGAGAGGCTGTCGAACTTGTTAATGTGAATCATCGAAGTGAGGAAATCATAAATGAGATAAATTGGATTTCTGTCTTCTACTCTGCATTCACTGATATCTCGTCTCGTTCCACACAGAGACCAGAACTTTGGCATCAACGAGCTGGCCGCTGTGCAGGATGTGCGTAACGATTACAGTCTACAGGATTTGGATAACGCTGCCGAGTCAACTAGCAGTCCACAGTCAGCGAGCACATTCAAGGAGAAGGGTAAGTGTCAGGGTCGGTAGCTATACGACCATTTTGCTACTCTATTAGGTTAAGCTTCAGTTAGTGTCGCTGCTGGGAACTGCTTGCACTAGGCCTAATTGTCCCAATACGAACACTACCCAACATACACATAACCAATGATATACATACACATACACACACACACACACATACACATCACACATGTTGCTCATCTATACATACATGATATCCCCCCAACCATTTGACAGTCGACATCACAACGGACATGGAGTGTCAGCACCGTGGCGGTACTTGCGAGTTCTTTTTAGGCTGCTGGCTATCTGGCGGCCTAATACAGGGCACCTGCAATGGATTGCTGCGCGGCTGTTGCCATCGCACGGCCAAATCGGCCAATTTACGCAGCTCGGACTATGTGGGCAATACGGTCGATCTGACCGATCTACCGCAAAAGAACTTTGGACCGGTCAACAACGAACCCAGTGAGTGTGGCTGCCTCAACAAAAAAAAAAAAAAAAAACCAAACAACAAATTAAAACAAAAAAAACCAACTACAAGTCCATGCACGTGCACACTAAAAAACAAACAACAATTTGGTTTACACTACGGTTCAGCTTGCCTTTTGGACCAAGTCGCAAACATTATATAAAATAATGAAATGTATAAAAACTTAGAGAAACAACTTCGGTTGGCCGAAGATTAAATATACTTGCAGAGGAAAGAAAATTTTATAAATTAATTAATTTAGTCGGAAAAGTCCAATTGATGTTATTTAAAATAAATTACAGAAAATATATTTCATAGAAAAAAACAAAACAAAAATATATATATTAATAAAATAAATAAATAAATAAGATATATGGAAATATTTTAAAATATGTATTTATATGTCAGAAAAAATACAAAAATGTATAGAAATAATTATACATACATATACACGATACAGTAAAATATTGTGCCATAAATTTAATTAATTATTTTCAATAATTTTCTTGAACATTTGTTTAATGATTGCGAAAAATTATGTCAAAACAAGTAAGAAGACTCTAGTCGAGACTGCTCGACTAGGAGATACCCTGAAC